AGTTTATCTTACACCTTTCTTCGCCTGTTGAAATGTTCTTGGAGCATAAACCCGATGTGTCCAAACAGGCCAGACTCCACCAGAAGTGTTCTAAGGGCACTTCGTGGAGACCACAGACCTCCCTCTAGCAAAAAACGTGGTTCAGTGAAAACGACCCGAGGCCTGGAAGTGGGCACCAACACCAACACAGAGGGCTGCCTCCACAGGGGGAGGAGGATCCTGGATCTGGGTGTGAGTGGTAATACTTCGGTTACCTTGTAAGCCAGAATATTACCACCATCACCGAGATCGGGATTTCCATCCCTCGGCGGAGGCACACCGCCGATCTTGGTGTTGGTGTCAACCTGTGGGCCTGTGAGGGACCGACCATCCCGGTCTTCCTTCGGGGATGGACAGACATCCCTTTAGTAAAGCGTGATTTAGTGAAAACGACCTGCGGCCCAAACCTGGCGGGCGCGTGCCTGGAAAATGACGGCCGCGGCGCCCTCTCGAGAACCGAAAACGGACAATTCACTAATCGACGTGTCACTGTTGGGGGTTCTGTCCACCCCCGATTCCCATATAGTCATACCACGAAATGCTCTTAGAACCCAAAGGTGTTCTAATCACAAGAACAGTGTTCTTAGAGCATGAACCCGATGTGTTCAAACAAACCAGACTCCACCAGAAATGCTCTAACAACAGTTCGTGGAGACCACAAAAAAGGCTCTTCGAACATTGTTTGGTAGGGCTATGGGCCACTTCTTGATCAATGGACTGGGCCATTCGGAAACTGGGCGGGGGCTGGCAGATCCGTGGCGACTGAAACGGCCTTCCCAGAAGGAAACAACACATTCCCAGGAAGAATCTCGGCGCACGAAGCCGCAAAACGGGCTGCTTCCCAGGAGGAAGAACAAAAACAATGTCCCGGAGCTCCGTTTTAGCAGCCACGGGTTTGCCAGCCTTCGCCCGGCTTCTGAGCCATGCTGTCCAACCCCCTCTTCTATGTCCAATGGGAAACAATTCAATCAACAAAAATCCCCCACCCACACACACACACCCGGACAACCTGGACAACCCTAGCCAGTTAATGACGACACGACCTAGCCGGACAACCCCTCGGACAACCCAGTGGGGATCTGGACAACCCCACTGGGCAACCCTCCTTGGAAGGGGCTCCACGGGGTTTCTCCTCCATTAGATACGTATACAAACGCCTTCGAGTGATCAGGAGATTGAGGGGTGGGGGGGAAGAACGATGGATGTGATGATGACGATGCTGGTGACGCGCCCTCGAGTTAGCGACGACGCGTGATGACGATGTTGCGCTGTGATGTAATGTCACTATCGTCTCCGCTTTCGATCTCACTTGATCGATCCCACAATCGACCTCGCGGCCATTCTTTGTACCAATGGATTCAGCGATCGGTCCCACTATCGATTCCACTAACAATCTCGCTATCGATCTCGCGATCGATCTCACAACCCACGTCACCATTCACCTCACCGTCGACCTTACCATTGTTCCCGCTATCCACCCCATTCTAGCGATCTCGTCACCGATCTCGCAGTCGACTTCACTGGCGATATGAGAAGGCGGGACACCCGCGGCCACCGCCCGCCCACCGCCGACGGAACACCGACGGGACACCAGCGGGACACCACGGGGACACCACGGGGACGCCACGGCGGGACACCCATGGGCCACCGCGCGCCTGCCGGGGGTGGAGGGGCGGTCCTCGACAGCCGAGCCGCCCTGGCGACGGCAGGGCCAGTCCTCTCGCGCGCCCACGCAGCTTCACCTCGCCCGCACGCACGACACGCACACGCTTGGGCGTGGGGCTTAATGGGGGGGTGGGGGGTCACAAATGGGGGGGTCAGAAAAGGTCCCCTTTCGTGCCCCTTTCGGGCCCCTCCAGAGCCCCAGGGGGTACCATTTGGGTACCTTTTCGAACCACCCTTGCCACCCCCCATTTATGACCCCCCCATTACGCGGCGCCCAACACGCAGCCGAAACCAATGTCCCGGGGGGGGGGCCCTCTGTTCCACTGCGATCTGCCCCCCCCCCCCCCCCAGCCTCCGATGGCAGTCCGTCCCCCTCGGCTGCTCGCAAGAGTGACCCTGGGTAAGAGTGACCTTTGGTGCGCGGCTTTTTTGGGGCCGCGGGGCGACCAAACACAAGCGCGCAAGACGCTGCAATCGCATCGCGTTCGACGGTCGGGGCACCCCAACGGGCCCGCACCAAAGGTCACTCCGGCGAAGGGTCACTCTGACGTGTAGTCGACCCCCCCCCCCCGCTTGGCCACCACGAAGCCTTCAACTGCGGGTCGCGCGTGCCAGTCAGGTACTCGTACGTCGTCATGTCCTCCCCGTTCGGGACGACCGACATGGGTACGGAAAGAATGGGTACAATGCACAACAGCAGTCCCTGCTCACTTTGCACAGGACTCGCTGTCGGTGCCGCCGCGGCCTGTACATTTGAGACAGAAGGCCGCCTGCCCCAACAGCGGCCGCTGCTGGTTCGGGACAACATTTGCTGTTGGGCATTGTGCCTATTGTTTCCGTGCCCATTTCGGGCGTCCACGGAAAACGGGGGCGCCCCCGGAAAACTTGGATCGAAGCTGTTTTTGCGCACGTTGTCCGGGCCGCGGGGGGTGAGGAGGCCCTGCCGCTGCTCTGGCAAGATAGCGTGCTTTTTCTGCCGCAGCCTGGCGCGCCACCGCGAAGCGGTATTGCGACGCATTGCGAGGCCACGGCATCTGTGCTCATGTGCTTTGCACTCAGCTTTGTCTCTCTCACTCTCTCTTCGGGCGTCCAGGCCCGTGGCCACGGCGGTGCGCACGGGCGCGAGAGGCCCCACTCTCCGGCGAGGCGGACCTGCCCCATGTGCCGGCGGCCCTGCGTGGACCTCGGCCGTTGTCGGGGCCCGTTGTCGGGGCCCATGGGGCCGTCAGCTTAAGAGGATCGGGTGGGCGCGGAGTGATCTTGAAGTCGGGCCTGTCCCTCTAAATTCGGACCTAGGCCAGAAGAACACCCCTCAAGAACACGAGACCCTCCGTCGACCAAGACGGACAGAGCATCCAAGGGTACCGTCCACAAGATGCACAAGAACATCCAACAAACACGAAGAACACGAGGGTACCCTCCCCGAACCGACCTCGATCTTGCACCTCGGCCCGACTGTACAGTCAAGCCGCAGAGTGAGGATGCGCGATGAGGATGCAAGGGCCTTGGACGCCCATCTCGAAGCTCTTCGAGCGGGGCGCGGCCAGCGAGAGTGGCCAAGGATGGACCCAGGAAGCAAGGATGCAAGGGTACCCTTGGGAGGGATGCCTCTCCTTACGCTGCGGGTCGACTGTACAGGAGAAAAACTCAAACATAGCACAAACAAAAATAGTCTGGGGACTACTTCGTGAATCTGTTTTGGCTATGTTTGAGCATGTTTCGAGTATCTTGTATATTTCGTCCAAAATCCGCCTGTAGGAGGACACGCCCGACTTAAAAGTAATGGGCGGGCCATTCGTGGGGGGGGAACAAAGATGCCCTTTTCGGGCCATGAAGGCCTCCCCTCTGGGCCCTCAGGGGCCCGAAGGTACGTGACCCCTTTTCTGCAACCCTCGCTGCCCCTCCCCCCCCCCTCGCCCCCCCCATTCCGCGTCCTCCGGTCCTGGGGCGAACGACTGACCCTGGGGAAGGGGACGGAGCCTTGCGCATTGAAACATCAGATCGGCGGATGTCTGAGAGCGCGAGACGCAGCCAGGGCCGAGACAAACTCGGACGGGGAGAGGTCGGGGTCCCCCGAGGCCCAGCGGCTCCGGAGGACGCGTCGGGCGCCGGGGCCTCTCCGGGGGGCTCTCCAGAACGCTCGGAGGGCCTTCTGGAATGCTCTGGGTCGAGTTGCCTGAAGGGGCCCCGACGCATATAGACACACCACACACGCACCCACACACACACACACACACACACACACACACACACACACGCACACACGCACGCACGCACGCACGCACGCACGCACGCACGCACGCACGCACGCACGCACGCACGCACGCACGCACGCACGCACGCACGCACACGCACGCACGCACGCACGCACGCACGCACGCACGCACGCACGCACGCACGCACGCGCACGCACGCACACGCACTCACGCACACACACCACACACACACGCACGCGCGCACGCACACGCGCACGCGCACACGCACACACGCACACGCACACACTACACGCACACACGCACACACGCACACACGCACACACACACGCACACACGCACACACGCACACACGCACACACGCACACACGCACGCACACACGCACACACGCACACGCACACACGCACACACGCACACACGCACACACGCACACACGCACACACGCACACACGCACACACGCACACACGCACACACGCACACACGCACACACGCGCACACGCGCACACGCGCACACGCGCACACGCGCACACGCGCACACGCAGACACACACACACACACACACACACACAAATGAGCAATCCCAGGAGTTCCAATATTTTCTTATCTTTTCTGGAATTTCGTCTTCCCCCCGCCTTCGCATATTTTCCCATAGACGATTCTTGGTGTCCGTGTGTTTTCCTCCCTCCTGATTATCCCAGTACTGACGCTGGCTGACCATGGCTTGGCGGCGGGTGCAAGCGGGGGTGGCGCGGAGGGGGGCGGACCTCTCGCAAGGCCCCTGGGGGGCCCTTCAGCGAGATGCCTTCTCAGAAGGGCCTGGGGGCTGCTCCGAAGGCCTCTGGTTCGAATAGGGGGGCCGACCACAGAATGGATTCGGCCTCACATGGGTTGCTCCGTCAGGTCCAGGAAACTACATAGCATGCTGCGTGGATCTGCGGCGCACGCTGCGCATTGCTTGCAGACTCGACGGGGAAATCAAGCTCGGGGTACCCCTGCTCGACTGGTCCCTGGAGCCGTGCGGGCTCCTCGGAAGCCCCCGCCTGCTCAGAAGGCCGCCCCCTCCGCGCCACCCCCCTCGTGTCCGCGCCGCCCACGGACACCGAGCGCCTCGAACGAAACCGAGCCGGCGCGGCCCGTTGCAGACGTGTGCCTCCGGAGTCGGAGACCTTAAAGGGAAATTAGGACACACAAATAAATACACACAAATAAAAATAGTCCCCATATTTTCCCATATTTTCTTGGTTTTTATCTTCCCCCCCAATTCCCATATTTTCCCATATTTTCTGGGGAGTCGACGAATAATTGTGTCTGTGTGTTTCTTCCCCTCTTGAGACCTGCTGACCCGGGTCAATCCAGACCCGGGTCAGTCAGACCTTGCAGAATCCTGCAAAACTTCCTGCACCCAAACCCGCGGGTCAATGCGAAAGATCCGGCAAGATCCTGCAGGATCCTGCGCCCAAACCCGGGTCAATGCGACCCTGGCCCTTCAGGATCCTGCAAGATCCGGCGCTCTGGCTGACCCCCGTTTGCATTGGCCCCCGTCGCGAGGCTCCCGACGGAGGCCAGCTTCTCGGGCGCCGGGTTGGTCAAAAGAGCGACCCCGGGTGAACATCTGGGCCGGGGAGAAGGGTCAAGAATAGGGTGGCGCGCCGAGGGGGGAAGCGGGAGGCGGCAGGCCTTCGCAGGGAAAGCGGCGGGGGCTCTCGGAAGCCTCTGCGGCCTTCTGAGAAGCCCTCGGCTTCGGTCGGCAATGTCCCCCCACAGGCGGACGAACCATTTCAAAACAGCGGCAACAAAAATCAAACATAGCAAGAAATGCTAAAACATCGTCCCCGAGTGAATTTTTTAAGACTGTTTTTGAATGTCCCCCCTGTAGAGTTGAAGTCGGGCGTGTCCCCCTACAGGGGGATTTTCGACGAAAAATAAAAAATACAAAAAAATAGTCCAAACACAGTCCAAACATAGTTTGGGGACTATTGTTAGAATATTTGTTGACCTTCTTGGGTTTTCTTTTTTTCCCCATTTTTCGTCGAACATCCCCCTTGTAGGGGGACACGCCCGACATAACTGTACAGTCGGGGCGTTGACCTAAGGAACCCTAAGTAAGGAACGAGGCCCCTTTTTTCCCCTAAGTTAAACTTCGGTTTTCCCATGGAGAACCTAAGGGAAACTGCAACACAATCGAGGAACACCGAGCCCCTCCCCAACGAAAAAGGTTCCTTGTAGGGGGACACGCCCGACATAACCGTAGAGGGACAGGCCCGACTTGACCCGCGGCTGACGAGGAGGCCTCGCAGGAGAGCCTCTAGGAGGAGGCGGGGGGGGGGCCCTGGCAAGGCCCTCCGAGGAGGCCCGCGCCCTCAGCCTGCCGTCCCAGGGCGCGCCGCCGAGGAGAGGAGGAGGAGGAGGAGGAGGAGGCGAAGGAGGAGGCGAAGGAGGAGGCGAGGAGGAGGAAGAGGAGGAGGAGGAGGAGGAGGAGGAGGAGGAGGAGGAGGAGGGGAGAGGCCCGCCCATCGACAGCATCTCAGCGACAAGTGTCTGCGCCGGCGGCCGGCAGGCCAAACTTTCGTCCTCCTGCCGCCTTCTCCACCGAGCTTGCTCCTGCACCGCCTCCCCCGTACACCTCCTCCCTCCTCATTCTTGTTTCTCCCCCTCTTTATCTCATTACAATCCCCACGTCCTCCCTGTTTCCACCTCAGCAGCATGACACCCATTCGGGCACCCGCGAGCAGGCCCCCATACGCGGTCCTTGAAGACGAGATAACAATGAAACCCCAACAAGGTTGACTCCAATACCATCGCCGGCACATTTATAGCGAGGACGATGACAGGAAATACAATCCAACGCTGCTCAGCTATAAGCACGATGGCTGCGACAACGATCAGGCACAACATCAAGAAACATAACCAGATCGTCACGAAAAAGGGTCGGTAGTTGCGCTCGCCAACACAGTTGTTAAGCCAAGGACAATGGTGGTCGAATCTGCCCACGCACTTTCCACAATCCCAACAATGCTTGCTGTTGGCCTGGACGTAGACCTGGCAACCACGACTACAATAGCAATCCCTGGGAACGTCCATGACTTGACCCTGACGGTCGCGGTAGCCGTCCAAATATAAAAACTCGGCCACTCTCTGGACAGGGGTGCCCTGCAACATATCCGTCGCGCCATGCTCCGCCTTGTCCAGCACGCCCCGATCGGACGGGTTCATCGCCATTGTGAGCAGCCCGAAGAAGCAGAGGGCGAGCCATGTGATAAAAAACAGAGGCGTCAGCACGTGCCCCGCGTCCGTGAAGAACGGGGCGATGACCGCTGCAAACAGCGCGCCGTCGACCAGCACCACCGCGATCGCGGTCATCTGCCGCCACCTGAGAGGCCTCTCGAGGCCGCAGCTCCGAATGAACGAGGCGCAGTCATTCATCAGGAGGGGAGAGAGGGAGCAAGGGAAATCGGCACCACCACCACCGCCTCGACGTTGCTCTGCGCCCCCGCTCGAGACATCGCCCGTGTCCAGCCCACCAGGGCGTCCCCCGAGATCCGCCATCCGACGTTGCGAGAGCATGCAACAGTGCAACAGGAACTCAACCAGAGCCCTGGACCCCACTTTTCTGCTACATGTGTTGAGACCCTGGGCCGGGTGTGAAAAAATACACGCTCGGATCTCAGGGCCTTTCCTTCGTACACCCTGCGAAATGCTTTAGAAATCATGGGTTAAGAAATTCATAGTCTCAGAATTTGGAAAAAAAAAAAAAAAAAAAAAAACCCAAGAATGTCTATTCACATCTTAGGATTTACATTGAAACATTAAGAATAATCGAGACTCTGGCCGAAAACTTGGGTTTTCTTCAGCATCCCCTAGAGTGTACTGATCCTCGATCCTCGTCCCCGCGCGGAACCTCCTCGCTGGCAGTGGCCCTGGCGGTGGTGATGCGGCTTCTCCGTCCTCCGAGAAGCCGAGAGGGGGGGGGGCCGCCCTTCGAGGCTGGCGTGGTCGGCCGCCACGCGGCAGCGAGGAGCCCAAACGCCGCGCCGCGAGCCAGAGCAGACGGACCCCCACCCGACCCCGACACTGACTGTCTACCAACCCACCCCGACCAAACCCGGAGACCCGCATTTCGATTTTGTTGGGGGGGGCTACGGGCTTCACGTGCTCTTTCAATGTTCCCCGAGCCCCCACCCACTGGAAACGAAGGGCTCTGCCTCTTGCACGCTGGACAAGTCGCCTGTCGGTTGCCCCGATTCGCCCCATGCTGGTGCGGACTGCCTCTGCCTCGCCGCCGACGGAACAAAAAATGTGTGTGTGTGTCCGTTGAGCAGGGACCGACCGTCCCGGCATTCCTATTGTCCTACCACGAATTGCTCTTAGAACCCAAAAATGTTCTAAGAACAGAAACAATGTTCTTAGAACAGGTTCCCGATGTGTGAAACCAAGACAGTCACAGCCAGAAATGTTATGAGAACACTTCTTGGAAACCACAAAAAGGTTCTTGGAATATTGCTTGGTAGGGCTATAGGCGAGCCAGGACGCTTCGCCACAAGTTGATGTAGAGGGGCAGGCCCGACTTCACCCTCGGCGGCCGACGAGGAGGCCTCGCAGGAGAGTTTCTCGGAGGAGGCGGGGGGGGGCCTTGCAAGGCCCTCCGAGGAGGCCCGCGCCCTCAGCCTGCCGCCCCAGGGCGCGCCGCCGAGGAGAGGTGGAGGAGCAGGAGGAAGAGGAGGAGGAGAAGGAGGGGAGAAAAGGAGGAGGAGCAGGAGGAGGAGGAGGAGGAGGAGGAGGAGGAGGAGGAGGAGGAGAGGGGGAGGAGGAGGAGGAGGAGGAGGAGGAGAGGAGGAGGAGGAGGAGGGGGAGGAGGAGGGAGGAGGAGGAGGAGGAGGAGGAGGAGGAGGAGGAGGGGGAGGAGGGGGAGGAGGGTTGGGTTGGGGTGGCTCGGTGGGCGGCGAGGCACCGACCCGCACCTCCGACGAGGCGCCCCGGGAGCGCCGGCAGGGCCCCTAAGAGGCCCCCCCCCGCGAGCTCAGTGAGGCCTCCAAGGAGGCCCACGCTGAAGGGTGCCACACAAACACACATAAATACACAAATGGCAGGATTCCCCACATGTTTTCCCATGTTTTCTGGGTTTTTGTCTGCCCCCCCACTTCCCACAGTTTTCCCATACTCTCTGGGGAATCGACGATTGGTTGTGTCTGTGTGTTTTTCCCCTCCTGACAAGTCGAGGCCCCCGAGAGACGCCCCCAAAACCGAATCCGAGAGGCTTCCGCGAAGCCACCCAAGAGATCCCCACAGGCACCCCAGGACCTACAACCCACGCGCGGTGGCGGGATGGGCCGAAGGCCACCAGATCCGCTGCCCCCTGTTGGTTTATCACAAGGGTGCCTGGCGTGCATTTTTCCGAAAGAACTCTCCCGTGGGTCTTCAGCCCGTCCCGCCGGCCACGCGGAAGACATCTTTGCCAAACTTCGCCCCAGAAGCCCCAGAAGCCTCCAAGACTTCCAAGACGGCCCAAGAGGCCTCCAAGAGGTCCTCCAGGAAGGACCGAAGAGGCCAAAATCATAGTTTGTTCCGTTAGTTGTTACCAGATGTTCGCATTTGCTTCTTTTCGGCTTTACGACCGCCCGAGACGGTCCAAGAGCCCCGAGCTCGCTCAACAGGCCTCGAAGATGGCCCCACAACGGCACAAGAGGCCCCCAAGAGGCCCCTAGACGGCCCAAGAGGCCTCCAAGACGCCCAATGTGGCCTCCAAGACGGTCCCGGAGCTTTACAAGAGGGCCCAAGTCGGCCCAGAGAGGCCCCCAAGACGGCTTCCGACGGCGTCAGACGCGCCATAATGCATTAAGACGGCCAAAGGAGGCCCCCGAGAAGCCCCCAAAGTCCCGCGAGAGGCTAAATGAGGCCCCCAAGATGCCTCCAAGAGGCTCCCAGAAAGCTCCCAGGAGGCTCCAAGAGTGCCCCCAGAGGCTCCCAGGATGCCCTCCTCCTCCTCCTCCTCCTCCTCCTCTTCCTCCTGATCTTCCCCGCCATCCTCCCCAAAGTGTTCCCCGAAGGGTTTCCACACCAGCTGGGGAACGCATGGTCCGATAGCTTGGCTAAGCTCTTGCCACAACACTCGGCCACATGGGCGATTCCAAAAGGCAGGGGGCGGTGGTGACTCGCCGTAAGCATCTTCGAACCCGTCGCCTGCTGTTGACTGACTTATCACGAAGGGGACCCGGCGTGCTAAGGCTGAGGTGTCGGACCAGCGCGCCGGCCACTCGGAAAGCCGCGCTCCAGAGGTGGTCGCCACGGGTTCTCCTGCTCAAGATGGCTCCAAGCTGGCCCAATATGGCCTCCCAGACGGCCAAGATGGCCCCAAGTTCGCCCAACATGGTCCTAGATGGCTTCCAAGACGGCCCAGGAGTCCAAGATGCCTCCCAGTTCACCCAATAAGCCTCCAAGACGGCCCAAGACACCCCAGAGGCCCCTAAGAGGCCTCCAAGACGGCTCAAGAGGCCTCCAAGAGGCCCTCCAGGAGGGCCCGAAGACACTAAACCGAGTGCGTTCCCCTCAGGTGTTCAACAGATTTTGGCATTTGCTTCTTTTCGTTCCTCTCACGAGTCCAAGAGGCCTCCAAGATCGCTCCGAGAGCGCCCAAGAGGCCCCAAAGATGACCCCAAGACGGCCCAAGAGGTCGCACGACGGCGCACAGGGAGGCCCTAGACGGCCTCGAGGGGCCTCCATGACGCCCAAGATGGTCTCCAAAATGGCCCCGAAGCGCCCCAAGATGGCCCGAAGACGGTCCAGAAAGGCCCCCAAGACAGCTCACGTCAGACCGCCCAGGAACGCCCGAACAAAGACGGCCAAAGAGGTCCCGAACAAGCTCCCAAAGGCCCCAAAGAGGTCGAAGGATTCCCCAAAGAACCCTCTACGAGGCTGCCAGGAAGCTCCCAGGAGGTCCCAAAGAGGCTCCCAAGAAGGCTACTCCTCCTCATTCTCCTCCTCCTATTCCTCATCCTCCTCCTCCTCCTCCTCCTCCCCTCCTCCTTTTCCTCCTCCTATTCCTCCTCCTCCTCCTCCTCCTCCTCCCTCTTCCTTCTTCTCACTATCCTCTTCTTCAGGTGTTTCCCGAAGGATTTCAACGACGGCTGGGGGAACATAAAGTCCGATAGCTTGACCAAGCTCTAGACCAACTTTCGGCCACATAGGCGCTTCCACAGAAACAGAGTGCTGCGGTGATTCGCCGTAGGCATCTTCGATACCGATACCGCTACTCCCAAGACCTCTCCTGGTGCCAGGACCCAGATGTCGAGGCGAACCCAGCCGCATCAACGAGGGGCGGGTAGCGGTCTCGGTATATGTTACTACCCTTGGTCTCCCCAACTCGTCCTCCCCTTCTTCTCCTCCGTCCTACTTGCCCCACTGCCTCCTCCCCGATTTGTGGCCGCATCCTCCCACCCCCCCGCGTGCCATACCACGGCCTGGCGCGCCCTGCCGCTGCGCATCCCCCCTTCGCCGTCATCCCTCTCTTCTTCTTCCTCCTCCACCTTCTCCTTCTCCTTCTAGAACTTGGTCAGTCACCTGATACCCTACAGTCAAAACGTATATTAAGGACGGGTGATAAGGACGCAAGACCCTTGGAAGCCGAAGTGGGGATTTTTGGGACGGCGGGCGACGAGTGATAATGGCAAGGACGAGCCTCAGAGGCAAGGACACAAGGGTACCCTAGATGAAGGCGCGCGTCCTTACTAGGCGCGTTGACTGTAGTTCAGTTCTTGGTTTTCTTGAAGAGGCGGCCCTCCTCTCAGATCGCCACTTCCTCTCAAGGGGACCCATTGCGAGCCGCTTGCTTTGCAACTGCTGGTCCACAAGACCGTGGCACCGCCGACGCCGCACCTCCGTCTGTTGTGGCGTACGGCTGCGTGCGTATGCAGCCTTGACGAGGAACTGAGCATGGAGTTCGAACACCAATTACCCTGGCGACGTACCCAACCCCTGCGCAATGCGGGGCATGAATAACTTGGGAGACGTTATACGGAAGTGATGACGTGACATGAGCGCATATACTTCTGCGAACGGCATTCGCGAGGCTCGCAGCCCCCCAGGGACGGCGAGGTCCCACTCAGATCTGCCTGGTGCCTCGCTCCGCTGAACCCGCTACCAGCCTTCGAAAGTTGCGACGGCTTCGCAGATCGCAGCCCCCCAGGCACGGCGAGGTCTCGCTCAGACCTGCGCGGTGCCTCGCCCCGCTGGACCCACCAGCAGCCCTCGAAAGTGGCGACAATTTCGCAGATCGCAGCCCCCCAGGGACGGCGAGGTCCCGCTCAGATCTGCGCGGTGCCTCACTCCGCTGGACCCACCAGCAGCCCTCGAAAGTTGCGACAAAAATCGCTGATCGCAACCCCTCAGGGACGGCGAGGTCCCGCTCAGATCTGCGCGGTGCCTCACTCCGCTGGACCCACCAGCAGCCCTCGAAAATGGCGACAATTTCGCAGATCGCAGCCCCCCAGGGACGGCGAGGTCTCGCTTAGATCTGCGCGGTGTCACTCCGCAGGACCCACCAGCAGCCCTCGAAAGTGGCGACAATTTCGCAGATCGCAGCCGCCCA